TCCCGTAGTTTTATTTATTAAATCAAAGCTAACAAATAGAATCAAAGATCAAATTGTGAGACGAAGTATCAGACGAAACTTAACTGTACTTCAGCTTAAAAGAAAATTCCATGTCAATTATGTTCTCATAGATCACTGATGGCACAAAAATCCACTATTATCTTACTTTGCTGATTATTCCAAAAGATTATTCAATTTCTATTTTTCTCAATACTCTTATGAGAGAATTTGCAATGTGGTCATCGAGAAAAAGTTTTGCATTTTTAATTCTGTTCTCTTAAATAAAAGCTATCAATAAGTCAGATTTCGATTTTAATTATCTGTATCTCATACATAGGGATGTCGCGATAGAATATTTCATATTAGTTTATCATAAACACATGTATGAAAAATGAATAAATCATTTGACATATTTCATCTAACAAATATTCGATTAAGTTGAAGCAAAAAGTGTAATCATTTGTTGTTGTTTATATAATAATAACAATACGTTTATTAACAGCGAATAATGTATTATTAATATCAATCTTAAGCTCGATATATTTCAAGGTGTGGGTGTGAGTGCAGATCTTCTCTCCATAAACACACCCTCAGCCAACTCACGAACGACAGTGTTTACTTATATAACTTAATAACAGTACTCATCAATATGATAGAATTGGGTCTTATAAGTTAGAACATCACATATATTTTTAATACTCAGTATATTCATTGCATTCCTTACCATTGTCACTGACTTCTGTAATTTTCAAAGCAAGTAGTGATACCCAGTTATTCTTTATCAATTGGCATTAAAAAGTCACTTCAATCATTATCAGATACAGGCATGAAAGAAAAACATCATCTACAATCGAATTAAATCAATACAATTACATTCAAATCTGCACTTATTTTTTGTAATTTTTCTAGTAGCATGTGTTGCGTATGGTTAAACACATTTCTCATAGAAAAATAAATATCGATGTCGTATTTCTAGGCCATGTTCATCAATAACTACAATAACTTGGGTTGATTTGATTTTTATTGTGTACTCAAAAAGTGAGTACACTCTGGAATCGGCCAGTGTATCCGGTCGGCCATTTACACGATAGCTTTTGAAAGAAGAGTCTGCTCGCGATGAAATTTCTCACATAGTTTTGTCTCAACAATATCTCAGTCGAGTTCGAAGATAAGAAAGATTGGCCGAACCATTGTTGAGTTATTGCAGGGTGTGTGTGGATGTGAATATTGATTCTCTTCACACCCACCCACACCCTCGAAATACCATTGGTTGAACAGGGACCAATAGAAATCAAGTTATAGGAAAAACGATTTTCTTAGGGTAAATCAAGGCGAGGAATTCAAATCTGAGCTACATTTGCCCCCAAATTCGATTGGATGAGCAGTAGCCAATAGAGTTCGAGTATTTTTAGAAAAGATTTACCAGGAAAATTTTGATGTCCACACATTCTAGGATGACTCATCTGTTTCATTCACTTTTTGAAGTACACATAACTCTCAGATTTTTAAATCTGAGGTTCCGCTTTTATTTTTAATTGTCTTGAATCAATATTTACACTTTATAGTCTAACATGAAAGTTCGAGGTCGCAAAAATCCAAAAGTTATGATGGTGATGTAGTCTTCTCTTTATTAGTAAGTAGAAATATAAATGGACACTTCTGTGATGGTTCATAACACATTAGCTAATGTAATGAACTCATTATTATTCAACATATTTTGACATTCATTTACAATTATCTCTCACATTATTAAGACTTTACTAAACTTCTTATTTTTACAATGAAATTCCTTTAAAACTAAAATTATCGTATAGAATATTTTTACATATTATGCTTCTTTTCACTTCTTACACGAACGAATAGCTATTGCATGAACCTCATTTATATGCAATGATTTTAAATTTCAAAGCGTTTCTACTTTTATGTTTTCAGTTCATATTCTTTTTTCTTCACAAGGACGATTTTTTTTTCAATATTTATTTTGATTTATATCAACTAAAGAAGCGTATAAGGTGTCACTCTATTGTTCATGTTAAGCTTGCGTTCATCTACTGTCAATAGGATCTGAATAATTCAATGTGTATATGTCTATTATACATATGTAGGTTATATAAGCTTTGTTTTAATAGAATTCTTTCCATTAATTCAATTGAATTCTGAAATTGTCTCTATCGTCGCATTGATTCGTTGTCGACGAATCTCGATTATATAAAGTCCTATTTTTACAAGAATAGGAACGATAATTTTGAGTGCAACATTCAAGCCACCCAGAAGTCCAATAATTGTAGTAATCATGTAAACTAGATTGGCTCGCTCGTTGATTATATAGGTACATGAGACAGTTGCACAAATTGAATAGTAATGTTCAAAGTTCACTGTAGATTCCCATCGATAAATCATAAGATCATCGACAAGAGATTGTACAGTAACATGTGGAGATGTCACAGTAGAATCGAGAGGTGCAAATGTGCTATTCGAAACCTGAAATATATTTTTCAGTCTGTCAATACATGTCGCTTCGTATAGACACTGAAGAGTGGATTGAAGTAAAGACTCAAGTACATAGCAGCCGACACGAAAACCTGGTACAATCCATCCGTTAATAGCTGCTGCTGATGTACACATGCCATTAGTTACACACGAACAATTGTTATTACCATAAGAATACGATGCCATTGATGAGTAATAGTCACGTAAATGAAAGACTTCTACATACCAGTTCGAGTACACAGACGAGACTAATCCATTGGCTTGAGCCGTTTGTCGAATAAAGTCAATCATACGTACAAATGTTTGTGATGTTGATGAGCGAAATTGAGCAACATCCATGTTTATCTGTGTTTCAATAGTCTGTCGAGATTGTACTCGAATGTTGATCAAAGAAGTTGACATAAAAGTCGATAAACTATCGTTGATTGTATTTTTGGCTAGAGTACACAAACTGGCAAGTAGACGAAAGTGTTGAACGGCAAAGCGTCGATAATCATCATAGGAGTATTTGATCATGCTCTCTATTGAATAAATAGCATTGATCCACAAGGAATTCTTAACAATAAAATCACTGGAACAAAGTTGATGGTATGTAGGAAATACTGATACAAATGCATCGTACAGTATAGATATATTTTGACAAGGACAATCCAATGTAGACAAATATTCCGCATTAGATGACAATCGTTCAAAAGTTGCTTGAGACGGATGTTTCACTGTTATAGTTCCAATTGCACGTGTGCTTCCAGTGTAAACTATTACAATAGTAAGGGATAGAGTGATTAATAAGAGAAAGATACGAGTAGAGATGATTTCATTACGACGACGATAATCATCATTCCACGATATTTCAGTTTCAAATAGATTGAACTCCATTGCTTTTACTTTTATCAAATCCCATAATGCGCGTATCTTGTCTGATATTGGCGTAGGATCTTCAAAATAGAAAGAACAACTGAAATCTGCTCTATTTTTGTATTCAAAAACATAAATTTCTTACATCAGAGAAGTCTTTTAGTATTAATTTCGTCTTGATTCTACAAACTTTCATTCATTAGACATAAAGATTCTTTATGCTCAAGTAATAGGAATTTGAGATGTATATTTACCCACATTGAATTTTACATCTATCAGTTGTTACTAAAAGTAACCATAATATATTAATATCCTCTATAAGTAAGCGCACATTAATGAACGACAAATTTTTTTTTGACAGTTCTTGACACATATGCTCGAATGACAATAGAACCTCACCGTTTATTATTGGGAGATAGCTTTGGAAACTGTCTCATTTCTATAAATATTCGTTTTTAAAAGTTCAAACCACTTTTGCTAGCATTACATTGGAATTTGATCAACGGTTACATATAACAATAGGTTTTGCAGTCCTGTGGTACGTTAAGAAAATCGAACTTCAGATATTCTCAACTAACAAGCATTTTTCTTGTGGTATAACAGCACAGTAAAACTGTCCTCAAGTAACTTTCTCATTAATCTGCTAGAATGATATTACCGTTGTGTATGTATATTAAAGTCAGAGTAATACTAGTCTTTAAAATGGAAAATAATACTTGCAAAGCTTTACGTACTTCAATTCGACACATAATATGAAATCAATATGATTGATACAAGCATTAGGAAAATGCTCATTAAATAATTCACGAAAGAGAAAGTTTTCAAATCTACTACACTATACAGACGACGAAAAAGACGCCAAAATTCACAACTCAATCCATACTCTGAAAAAGGTGACTATAAATCATCACGAACTGGATATTTACAGTTTGTTCTAGATAAATGAAAATAGACAATTTTAGTGGAAAATGATAGCAGCATATGTATACAGCAAACATTTGTTTATTTTATTACATTCTTTTGACGTTTTCCTATCAATAAGCTCCTTTTCGCTGATTTTGTCGTCGATGTCTTTCTACTTATTTTTTCGAAGTTTTCACCCATCGGCATTTTAAGTCGATTTGTTTGTAAAAGATGATTATTAATGAGTGCTACAATATATGAAGAAACATCTTCCGTTTTCTTGGCCTACTTAAAGAAATCTGCAAACATACGTTTTCGTATTGTATCATTGAGACTTTGATGTTTGATGCGGTTTAAAAATTTTAACAAAGCTGGATTTTGCTTTCTCATACAAACCATATGGATTTCCACTACTTTAAAATCTATGGTGACTCTACTGAAACTCTGCTCTTGATTATATGTTTCTTGAAGTTTCTTTCTTTCTGGCATTTCTCGATGGATACATCATTTCAGAGAATCAGAAATTCTGTATTCCTCTGTAGGTTTACTTTGTTACCTCCTCCACATTCGCTTATTGCGATTTCAGTGCCCATCTATCCTACACAATAAAACGTCCTACAAGATCATGAGGTTACCCAGGGCATCACTTATAGAAATTGATTTACGAATGGAAATCGTTCTAGCTAAGTTAGTTTTGGACTGTTCAATGTTTTTCTTTCCTCTTGAAAAAAAAAATATTCACCGGACTAAAACTAACCTGTCACATTAGCTGGTGTTGCTTGGGGACGCATTCGGTTTCGTATCCAACGGACTATTATTGGAACAATAATTTTGAGAGCAACTGAAAGACCACCAAATAGTCCAATCACCGTGGTGACTATATAAAGTGCATTATTACGGAATGGCAATAAATAGGAACATTGTTCGGGTGCACATTGTTGATAGTATTCTTCATAACGTACATTTTCGTACCATCTTTCGATCATAAGTTCGTTAATGATTTCTCCAACAGTTGTTTTAGGAGAAAATCGTGTTGAATTCGTTAGAAGTACGGATCCATTGATTATAAAATAGTAGTTTGCAATAACATTGATTATTTCTTGAATAGGATCAAAACATGTTCGCTCGAAAAAGCATTCAAGTGAAGATAGAAGTAAGGATTGCATATTGAAACAACTCTTATACATATGCGGAATATTGAATAGAATACCTTGTGGGGGAACACTAAGATCAATTGTATAATTGTACAAACTTATCGTATTCTTGCATTCATCACTAAGTGCACATGAACAATTTTCAATTATAACAGGTGTTGGTACAAAATAGCTGTCTCCAGTGTCATAAACCGAAGGAATACTGTACCAATAGACATCACCGTATCCGGCTGTATATGTAGTTGTAGTTAGAGAACGAATGATTGCGAGATTGCGTTTGAATTCAGCTACTGTAGTTGATTCAAATTGTGTCAATATCTGTCGTGTACGAGCTAATAGTTCTTCAGAGGATAATGCTCGATCATTAATGAATGATGTTTGATTAAAAATGAACAATTCATTGGAGATAGTCACATTTGCAATTGTACATAAAGTGTTCAGAGCATTAAAATATATGTGTCCATTGACTAGAAAGTCAGTGTTAGAGAGAAAAGGATTGTATTGGCCTGCAAACAATAGAGCACGTCTCCATTCATCAGATACGAACCAACTTGAACAAACTGGGTGAAACAAGGGCCATACTTCTATAAATAAGCCATATGGAATGGCGGGTCGTCTACATGGACATTTAAATGATTGAAGATTTTTCGCATATAAATTTGTGAAATTATTTTGAGATGGCTCATAAACGGTTATTATATGAACGTGAGAACTTAATCCAGTAAAAAAACTGATAATAATCATCGAGAAACAGAGAAGAATTAAGTAGACGCGTGTCGAAATTCTGCCAGTGATCAATTCAAACCGATCAGTGCGTGCTGAAGGATTGTTGAATAAAGTCAACTCAGTTATTTTAACTTTTACCAATTGCAGTATCATTTGAACATGTTCAGTTGAGGAGTGAGCTAAAATATAGATTCTCCTTTAAGGAATACTGTTGATAGTAAATAGTAATGGAACTGTAAACAAAAGAGCTAACAAAGGGCATGGAATTAGTAATCAATATTGTGTTATGCAGGCATATCGAAGAACAACATAATAATATACCAGATAGGAGGAGATAACTGCTCTATTGAGTTCAGTTTATATAGGTAGCGAAACAAGGTTATCATGTCAGGGAGAGCCTCGTTCCCAACATCTTAAATAGTCTTACATGAAAGCCTAGTTGAAAAAAACGGAGATGCCGGACGGAGTTCTGTTATGGAAAAGGAGGATGGATCACTAAAAACTTTAGTTATATAGAAGTCAATAATTTCTTTCAAGGAAAAGTATTTTTGCGTAATCGAAGAATATCTTCATTTTTCTACATACTGATCGATTGTGATCAGGATATTTTCGGAAAAAAACTATAAAACCATGAACCGAAAGCTAGTTGCAGCCAAACCATCATGATTGCATTCGTTTCTAGTTTAGAAAGATAGAAACTCTCGTTTCAGTGTGGCAAAAGTGAAATGCTCGTTCGATGTCATATTTACTCATTGTAGGCGGCTACGCTTACATACTATCTGAAATGAAAAAGAAGAATTAGCAAGAGACTTTGTTAGTTAATAGATTGCAGATAAATGTAACATATTACATATTGGATACTTAACGGAATGGGAGTTTTCTAAGCTTTTCAAACCTTTTTTTATTCGATATTCTGTTGTCCAACAATCAATACGTTGCTTTCAAGATATTCAATGAAAACAGAGCTCAAAGCTTTGTCTAGAGACTAAGCCTTCCATGATCAGTCTATAGTTACGTCGATAGTTCATGTTATCGTAATAGGTTGATTGATTCTTTTTCACAGAACACTAGTACACGAGACTATCGAAAAAAACGGTTACCTAGATTTTAGAATATATATTATTGAGATTGAAACGCATCTGAAGAATCATTAGGTGTGTAAAGGAATGATTATTAAGTTTTTCTTTTAATAATGAAATACGAAACTTCGTAGAGATATATGACACAGTTAGTCTTTTCGTGCAGTAAGAATGCTGGCCAGCTTTAGAAGGTAATGGAATAATGATTACATTGTGCAGTCGATTCAGCATAGACACAGAAACAATGTTGAGGCAAAATAGATAATGGCTCATTGACATAAGCTGTCTAATCAGTGCACCCTATTAATCCTTGGTTTTCCTTCAGATTTCTCCGGATTTTTCGATCCATTCTGTTTACATGTGTACAACTTCTATATGAGTTTAAGTCTAAGGTAAAAGCGTCTTTGATGAACTCAATTCCGAATGCTCCTTCATTCAAAAGTCTTGATAATCGTGATGCGATTATCAAAACACGTCCAATCATTAAATTGATCAAATGATTACTGTGTCCCAGTTACTGGGCGCTAGTCTCTCTAGTAAGTAACATATCCGTGATATTCTTAAAAGGATTAACTTTTTATCAGTAACTGAACTTCATAAACAGTATGAGCAAGTAAAAGATCATTTTGAATATTCAAAGCTCAGTACATCAAAATCCAATTTTCGTACTTTCAATTCAATCTTTGTCTTCGTTAGACGCTGTCAAAAGAATTAATCGATTTCTATTCCGATTTTATTGAAGCGAAAAAAACCAATACGAAGTTTCTTTATCTTTTGTCAAAACTTATTCAATGAACCTATTCTATATCATACGTACTTGGATTGGCTTCTGTTCGAGTGTTGATTCGCCTTTTTCGCCACCAACCAACAATAATGGGAATGCATACACGCAAAGTAGCAGTAAGTCCACCGTAGATACCCAATAATTTGGTTATTACATACAAAAGACTTTTGCGCTTTTCAATGGTATATGTACATAACATGGGCGCACACGATGTGAAATAGTTGGTGAACAAAGTTTGTGCAGACCAGCTCTCAATAAATAAGTGATTAATGATTTCTTCAATTGTTGTATACGCCGTAAAATGAGTTCGATTTGTATTAAGAACATCGATATTAACAGTATTACAATTTGCGAAAAATTGCAAAATAGTCTCAAGACACGATTGGTTGAAGAAACATTCAAGTGTCGATTGAAGTAATGACTCGATTGGATAGCATGAAAACGATATGCCGTTTACGAATATTGGACTCAGTGGTTCACTCCAGATGGTCGCGATAATACCAATGTCTGTACCATTGAAAAATCCAGCTGGTAAAGAACATGTAGGCGTTATTAAACATTCACATTCCGTAGAACCGTTTGGAAAAAGTGAAACTTTCACTTCAATCAATGTAATTGAACCATTATCTCTGGTCGTTTTAAGTAATAGTTCAGATGTTTGGAATGCTGAATAGAGTGTGTCGGTATATGTCGTGCTGCGTACGAGTTCAAGTAATCGAACAAGGCTATTTGCTGTGGATGTTTGAAGAAATTCACTCTTAGCTTGAACTTTAGTATCTAATAATTGAAAAGATAAAACATCAGGTGTGAGAAGAGTTTCTGATCGAAGATCATCGAGTGCGTCGTTTATTGATCGTTGAGCATGTGAACAGTATATAGCAAGTAATTGGAAAAATGTACTGGCAAATGCACGAAAATCAGCTTGATAGAGAGTATTCATGTTTGGACTAAGAAGACAATCGATCCAATCATAAGATACGAACATGCTTGAACATACAGGATGATATTTAATATCCGTCGAAGTGAAATCACTATACGGAATGGTAGTACGACTACATTGACAAGATAGAGTTCTTGAATATGTGTTAAGTAAATACTCGTAAGATGCTTCCGATGGATTTCGAATTGTAATCGATATATTTTCATTACTCAAAGAAGTAAATATGACAAGAGTAATGAGAGATAATATGAGAAGAACAAAATAAAAACGAGTAGAAATAATTGCCGTACGAAAATTAAATGGATTAGAACGTGAGGCTGCATCATCGAAAATATTCAATGTAGCAACATGTTTCATAGTTTTACGAACTGTAACAATGATATTGACTGGCATATTTGTATTTCTTGAAGAAGAATCAAATGAATTTAACAAGTTAGTGGAGTTTTTCAGTTTCTACTTCGCATATTAATTACAAAATTATTTGCCCAGTCTATATGAATAGGCAATTTTATTACTATTTCCTTCTGTATATTAGTAGAGATATGGAAACAAAACTCGATTTCTCACTTTTTTTCTTGAAAAAAAAATTGCTTTTTTTTCAACTCCTTCTTTCCATTACTTAATACGTTATGTTAATAAAAATAATATTACTAAGTGTAGCCTGGAAAACTCAAATCTACAAAAAGAAACATATTGCATAATTGTAATATCTATCCTTGAAGTGGAAACAATTCTGAGCCATTAATTTTTCATGGTTTGAGAAAAACTAATTTCTTTTAGTACTCGATAACTTCCTGTTTATTATCTTCTATTTTTATCATCTTTTATGCTTTATTAAAGAAACAAAATATGGCATAGATACTCCATAAAAGATTCTACAGTTTACAAAACAAAAAAAAAAATTATTGTAGATATATGTATCTTTTGCGTTAAATATAGACAAAATTCTAAATGATTAATTTTTGATCCTGTGAACAACATGTTGTTTTGATATACAGTCAATACCTATGCGTATGGCGTCAATTAATGAATAATTCTTTCTAACTTTATCTATTGTTC